GATGTCGAAAAATGGGTCTTTGACAACCAATTACTGGCGATTGTTGAAGCGTGTGGAGAAGCGGAGAATTAAACAAGCGTCGAGGTGGGTTCTTCAGGCACACCTTTGATACATAGGTTCAGAAAAAAGGAGAAATGTGTGGAAGGTGAAGATGACTTTCATGCTCTGCCCCTGATTATAATCTTAATTCAGTTTTTGTCAGGGGTTCAAGTTTCGAGACGAAGTAAAGTGTTAGTACCAAAGTTGTTGATGTCCTGATACTCGTGACTGAAGTGGTTGAAAGTGAAAATTTAATTTCAGTGTCTGTTTTTTCATGATTGATTGTCTAAACTTTTCAGGAAACGAGATGAAGGGCAAGGAGGCACGAATCTGACGAGGAACGAAGACCTTGGATCTTTCGAGGACATTCCGCTGAGTGCAGCTTATTGCGACAATTTAGATGACGAGGCTGAGGGAAAAGATGTGGAGGTTGACGACGAAGACGAGAGTGCAGCCGACAGCTGCGACGAGGACGATANAGAAGTATGAGAGAGATTTTCCTGCTCGAAACTGAGGAGGGACTTCCGAAAATTTTCATGTTTTATTTTTCGTGCAATTATGAATTACAGTATTTCATGTTCTAACACTCTGCTTTTCTGCAGGCTGAAGTGCTGCACAAGGCGTTGGGAAACCTGGAGGGTTCAATCTGGTGTCGGGTGAAAATGACTGCGACGGGTAATGGGTTAAAGTCGAACAAGTTCGGTTGGTTCCAGTGGGACAGGCAATGGGGATCTGCGATTCAAGACGGGAAAATCGCCGCAGACCAGAGAGATGCCTTGCAGCTGGTGAATCATCAGCTTTCTTTGCAGCCGTGCGATTTCGAGGACTGGCACAGTGAGGATGATGATGATGTTATTCAGGAGCTCTTATGCAGGTATGCATCTTGAGAAAAACTTTCGAATCACGAAGAATTCGTCTCTTGATTTCGGATTAATTATCACTGTGTCTTTTCATCGACTGCTAACAGAAAAAAAAATCAGTTGAAAGAGTTGATTGTTACTCGTTCTGACGTGCTGAAAATACAGTACTGTATTTGAAATTTCAATTATTAATTTCGTGCACAATATTGGAAAATTATCGCCAAAGCACGAAATTTTTGTTCAAAGTTAATTTTTTGAGTTTTCCTCGTATCATTTCTAACTTTTCCCAGCCGCATCTGTTTCTGATAGGATATATTTCGTGAACGGATCAACAAAAGGAGGTAAAAATAGACAATCTGGGTTTCATCTCTATTTGTTATAAACCTTTCTCGGGGAATTCAGTCACCTATGTGAAACACCTCGCGCATGTTCAGTCTTCATTTTTGGGGTTGTGGTTTTTTGTTTTTTTTACAGATCTGGTCAAGACATGATTTACGGAAGACGGTCTCACAGCAGGGACTTGTTTTACTGGAGCGAGTGTCCGGTGCTTCAAACTGGTGCACCGTCAACTACGAGTGCATTGGCTGAGTTTCCTGAACGAGCGAGGAAGCACCTCAAGCGGCTAATTTTGTAGAATTTATTTGAAATTTATGCGGATTTATTTGTCTTGCTTTTGAATATTCCCGGACACAAAAAAGCATGTGATTCAAATTATTCCTCAAACCAGGGAAAAGGGGAGCGATGAAGTCCAACTCTTGTGATTCGTTCCTTCATGCAGTTTTCGAAAAAACTGGCTGTGTTATTTTTTTTAATGGAAATGGGGACCAATTTCAAGATTAATTCAGGGACTATAATTTTTTCGAGTCAATTAAAGTTTTTTGAACCTTCGATAATTATTCATGCTTTTACGTGAACGAGATGAAGTTCATGTATTGAATATTTGTTTGAATATTCAGAACTGTGTTGGGATCGGAAAGTTGTATGGATTTAATTTTTCGACCTTGAGCAATGGCTACGAATGATGATACCTTCGATCAGGTGAGTATTTTTCTGACAACGAAAGCATTTTTTTTACTGATTTATAATTCTTGATACTTCAGCTCGAAGAAGAGCAGCAGCAGCAACAGGGATCGACGAATGAAGGGGATCAGCTGCTACCCGGAGATAAGCGAAGAAGACTTTTTTCCAAGGAGTTGAGGTGCATGATGTATGGGTTCGGTGACGATCAAAACCCTTACACGGAGTCTGTAGATTTTTTGGAAGACCTTGTGATTCAATACATTGCGGAAACCGTGAGTTTCTACCAAGTGTGTCTCTTAACCCGATTTAAGTGTGGTGTATATTCTGAACAGACGCAAAAGGCAGCCGAAGTTGGTCGGCACGGGAAAGTGGCCGTGGAGGACATCGTGTATTTGGTTCGCAGAGATGCTAGGAAATATGCCCGTGTCAAGGATCTCCTCTCGATGAACGAAGAACTCAAGAAGGCGCGGAAAGCGTTCGATGAAGTCAAATATGCAGGAATGTGATACTATTTTTCCGAGTGCAAATACAATGTACATTATTTATCACCTTTTTGCGTTTCGAACCTCAGCTGTGTTGTCTTCGGTGTTCCAATTGTTTCTGACGCTTGTTTTCACGTGTCGCAGAAATATCAGCCTTGTTTTGGTGCTTGAAGGCGTAGCGGATTTTCAGTGACCCCGTTTGCCTTTGTAAGGCGCGCGCGAAATGGACGTCATGGACGGATTGCAAGACGAAGACCAGGAAATTGAAGCTATTAAAGCTAAGGTGAGAAGATCAGTTGTATTTCTGCATCCGGAAAACAATTCTTCTTGTGCAAGTAACTTTCAGGGACCAGCAAAAAAATTCAAACTGGGAAACAGTCATTTTATTTTTTCGGGCGGAAAGAAAGAATTCAAGTATACGAGGGTTGTCCCACTTTTACTTGGCCTTGGGGAATTTCGAGACTAGGTACCACTTTTTAAAAAAATGTCTACCATGTAGCCCATGCAATTGTAAGCTTCTGGGATTTTTTTCAGTTTCTTAATGAAAAATTTATAGATTTTCAGCGTGATGATGATTGAAAACTTTCCAGTTAGAGTTCTTCACTCATGTCACAAGCTGTTGAATCTTTTTCAGGCCAGACAAAAGAATTCGAAATTTTTTTGATTTTTAGCATGTACTTTCCTTCATTTTCTGAAATTTTCGCATTTTTTCAGTGACTTATTTTGTTTGCAAGAAGTGCAAATCCAAGTGCATTTTGCAATTTCCTGAGAGCAGGGGTTCATTTCCAATTTTTTAAGGTTTTCTCATCAGAAACATTATTCATGACCTACTTTTCTGGCTGTGATATTTTTTGTACTACTGTACCTCAGAATTTATTGACCTGAAAAAGTTTGAACGGCTTCTGACCTGAATGGAGAACTCTCACTGTAACTGGAAACGTTTCACTTATCATGCAGTTATTTTTTTTTTAATGTAAAAAAAAATATATTTAAAAAAATCCCAGAACCTCACAATTGCATTGGCTACATGATGAAATTTTTTTACGGTGGTATCTAGTCTAGAAATACCCAAGGCCAAGCGGAAGTGGGACAACCCTTAAATTGTTATCAGTGATATGGGCCTTGAATTGCTTCTTAAATGAGTTGACAAGATTCTGAACCTAGAGGCAAGAAACATTTGACCAATTAGTCTCTCACTTCCTTTCAAAACAGAGTGAGTTACAATTTTCTCTTTCCTGTGATAATAAAATAAAAGCCGAAAGTCCTCCAGGAAATTTGAGTTAGGGAGGTTTTTAATTCTTAGTTTTTTTTTTTTTTTTTTTTTTTTTTTTTTAT